ACACCACAGGCAGTGTTATGGAATAGAGTGGGATATATAAAATAAATAATAAAATGTTTTGGAATGCACATGCCCAGAACCTTAAGAAATAAACTGTTTAATTTAAACTGCTTGATTTCATAACTAATGTTATTTGTAGCTGATCTACACTTGCAACAGATTGCAAAGCACAGTTTCCAAGGGTTGATACAGGTGAATCCTGTGTCAAATGCTCTCTAGGGAAATTATTTCTTGAATATTGAAAGCTAAGCTATTGAGGAGAAGGATGGTAGTCTAGCCTCTGAAGTGATATGTAGAGAACAGACATTCTCCTGCCCCTCCGGTATGTTCAGACACACAATTCTGCTTAGTTCAAATGTCATAGTGCAAGAAAATTCACACTGTATGATCTGCTGCATGTGTAGATTGCTTCCTGCCTTGTTTTACATTAATAATAATGTAATATTATTAGCTTTAAAATGTGTGTTTTTGTCTTGTCCAGTATCAGGAGGTCAGAGCACCATATCAGCTTTTTTAAAAAACTGAGTGGTAAATAAGAAAAAGAAAAAAAAATGAGCCTTGCTCAAGGTTACCTGATAGACTTCAGATTGAGGCATGAGATTGAAAGTAGATCTGTGTTCAATTCTAATTGCATGTTCCATCTAGAACTCCTGGAGGGCTTTCTAATTGTTTCACTTTGAGGATGTTCCTTTTCTTTTGGTTAGTAGACAAGGCCAAAATGTCTTTTTGTGTCTTCCCTAAGTAGTGGGAAAGGTTGTCACTGTCTTCCTAGCCTGATCTGGCTGTGTAAGAAGACAAATTCTAAGACCTGTTGCACTTTACAACTTATTGGTGAGAGGTGACACGTGTGAGGAGGAGAGGAACAATCTTCCTTCATCAAAGGGATCTAAGGGTGTTTTCCTACAAGGATACCCATATGCTAACAAAGTTCCCTTCCCAGAATCTTTCAACTACATCTGGAAGACAAGGTGGAACAATGGACCAAAGAACAGACCTATCCATCATTTGGCCAGAAGCTGTGTATGCTTCACAAGGAAATAATGGGTCTGGGTTTTCTGAGTCCTCCTTGTAGATAAAGCAGCTGTGTGATGGCTAGCACTAAGATCCAGGATACACTAAAGAAGAAACAAAGGGACATATGTGACCAGTGCATAGGGACTTCTCTTTGCATGTTTTCTGCAGAATCAGCAGTGACTTATCAGTGCAAATTGTGTGTCTGGCAGGACAATATAAATGCTCAAGGATGGGACATTTAATCTACATGGGGTGTTATGTCAGCTGTCTAACAGGTCTTAATTTGTGTCAGTTTTTATAATAATTACATTCAGCTTTAAATCTGGTTTTAAAATTTTGTAGTTTAATATTGATTATACTTTGTTTTTATTTGTATTTTATATTACATTCTTACTGTATTTTATGTGCTGTTGTAAACTGGCCAGAGAGCTTTGGTTTATTGGATAGTATAAACTTATGATGAAGATGATAATACCTTCCAGAGAACCTTTTCTTTTAAGCAGAGAAGGACAGAAGATTTCACATTCAGCTGCCTTGCCCTTCAGCTTATAAAGAGTTCTGGCAGCTAAGAGTTGTGACATCTTGCTGAGAAAAGTGGATGTGAACCCAGCATCAAAGACTATACTTCTGCAAGGGCCAACCTGTTTTGGGAGTCCATTGAAGTGGTACTGTTAAAGAGCAAGGGCAGAAAAAAGTTCTTTCCCATACCAGAAAAGGGATGGCTGAAAAACAGGCAGCAGCCTTTTTATACATGTTTTGCACATGGCTGTTTTATGTTTTGCACATAAAAGAGTTCTCAAGATCCAGAGCTAAATAATTCTGCTCTAGAGGCATGCATAAAACCCAGACTTACTTAGAACCCATCTCAACAATTTCTCCCAGAGAAATGAAGAGACCACCCTCTTCCTGGTGCTGAATAGATTGGCCTCCAGAGATCCATATGGCAGACTTCTGTACTTTGCTCATGTGTGGCCAAGATCTACCTGAAATGCCCTGGCTTTGGAGACAGACAGTCTTATGGAGCTGTTTATTCAAGTTTCTCACATCGACTGAGGAACAATTTCTGGACTGTTCTGAAGTCCTGAAATGTATGAGTAGTAAAATACACAGTCAGATAAACCTCCCAACCCTTTCTAGACATCCAGAACACTGAACACTTCCCTTGAGCCCAGAGGAAACTGGACTTCAACTGTATTTTTCTTAATATTAAAAAGAGAATGAGGACATAAGAGCAGTTATTGAAATAGCTGAACAAATGCATCCATAAGAAATACTTGAAGATGGAAATCCTGGTATTTATAGTGGCGGCCATAGTACCTACAACATAGCAACTACCTAACATTCATAGATTTGTGTCAGTTTCAAGCACAAACTGGTATCTCTCTCTACTAGTCAGAGCCAACCATAGGAGATATCTACAATATACTTTTCTCTGTCACCATTACCAGAAAAAGGTCAAAACTTGGGGCTCACAATAGTATCAGAGGTATTCACCAAAATACTACTGCAATTGTTAGCACACCTGAGGCAGAAGGAAATCTATTTATGTCCATTCCTTGATGAAACACAAGTAGAGAAGGGGAGCTGTGGGACATGCAAACCACACTAGCACACTTCAGGATACATTGTTTAGTAGTCCATTTTTAAGGAGAGTTTCCTGAAGCTGTGACATAGTATGCAAAGCATCTTGGAGGAATCCCTAATATGGCAGAAAAAGTGATGCACCTAACAGGAAAACAGCAGAACAAATTTCTTCAGTTCATTTCTAGGATAGCTTAGGCTGACTCTGCATCAGCTTCAGGGCATGTTAGTATCTATCCAGTAATTGTTTTAGTACTGTTTTCACTCCAGGCCATTGCAGAGAGTGAAACTAGTACTCCAAGTTCCAAGAAAGGATCTAGAACTTAACATCTTAACAAAAGTCATCTTAGATCTAAGTTTATGCAGTGATGACTCTAATGGAAGCACATCTGCCATGTAGAACCCAGAGACTGATGAAGATATTCAGCTTGTGGTGGAGTGGTTCAGCTGGATATCTTGCAGAACTCCTGAGTGGGTACTCTTCAGACCCTTTCCTTGAGACAGCTTATAATAGACCTGTTCACATCAGTAATACATTTTTAACTACCTAGCTCATGACAAAGCTCTAATGCACAGAGGTTGTAGCAAGTAATCTAGAAGTACCGTGGACACTGGGGCTTCTCTTTGCCTTCCTGTCACTGCTTTCATAGAACTTCATAGGATCCAGGATCTGTGACATTACTGGTTGCAGTTATATCCTGGATCCATGATATTAATGGCCTCCTGGCATCAGTTGTTCTCAGAGTTAATCAACTTGTCAATTCAGAACAATTGGAGGTTTCCCAGAAGTTCAGTCACAATGGCACATGTTCCATTAGAAGGCTTGGAGTTTGAGTGGCAAGGTCTAGGAGGATTTTGTTTCTCAGAAGTATTGAGGACCTTATCTTCCTTTAGGGCAGGAGCAGGGAACCTCGGGCATGGGGTGCCCCATCCAGCCCTCAACTTCTCCATGTGGATATGTACCTTTCTGCTGGCTGTACTCTCAGTGGCTATTCATTGGGTGGTTTCTTGGCCCTTGTGCAGTTTTTTTCCCCTTCAAAATGGTTGAAATGCTTTTTCCTAAGACTGACTTACTGGTAGTGAGAGCTTTAAGCAAAAATATACTGGCATTTTTGATTCTACTCCTTTTGTCTTTGTCCCCACCTATCACTGGTGATCCTTGAGAGCTTCTTTGATACTGAATTGGTGTAAGGGGTGTCTAACCCATATGGATTCATACTTGTGGGTGGAACTGGTCTTATGCAACTCCAAATCTGAATTCCTTCTGGGAATCCTGTAGCAAAAAGCAGTTTATTGCTTTAAATGCCTGTTTTCTAGGACTCCTAAAGGGCATTCTTCCTACCTCTGTGATCCAGATAGGCTGTTGCTAGACTATTCAGGGTTTTTGCCCATGCCATACATGTGGGCTGTATTTGGGATAAATCGCTGCTATCACATCTGTAATCTTTCTATTCTTTCTCAAATTGAATTATTTGCCATTGTTTTATCAACAGGTCATTCTAGTTTGGGGTGGAGGTGGGGGTTGCTGATTTTTCAGTAATGGTCTGGAGGATAGGGGCAGCCTTCTATTTCAAGAGGACAGCAAGATGTTTTGACCTGAGGAAGAGGATCATCCCCAAGGAATAAATGAGTCAGAAAAGTGCTCTGGTATGGTTAAAATGGGAAGTGGTATATAAATATTCTTAAATAATGCCTTTCCAGATTCCGGGAAAACAGAATTTTGTGATGAAAAGGCCTTGTTTCTGAAAGATATTCTGGTTGTGTCTGGGAGAGAACTCTAGGGAAGGAAATTGTAAACTAAGGATACAGCTGCATTTAACACCATTCTGTTAATCCTTGCGCATTGTATCAGAGCGGGATACAGTCTTGTGGGATTGCTACATGCTGTATGAAAGCTGGAGGCTTTTGTAAATCCTGTGCCATGCAAGGGTTTCTAGTAAAGCAGGACGAATTTCATAGGATTGCTCATGGCTCCTCCTTATTATCTGTAGTGATAATATTGGTACATATGAAAACTTGATATCCTAAGAACCTAATTACTTAGAGCTTTACAGATTGTATTGTATCTTAAAGGGCATTGGGTAGGTTGCCATCTCAGTAGTGTTAAGTACAAATGTAAGTTTTCATGCCTTGGACAGATGATGTAATAACAAACTTGCATTGTAAGATGGAGTCAGCCTCTAGAATAGGGGCTTCAACTGAATGAGTGTGTTGTGTTACTTCAAACGGTAGCATCTTATTCTGGGATAGGATGGCAGTGCTTGGAAGACATCTGATAGAATGTGTGAGACCATAGTGGCTCCAAGTGGCCAAGCAGGAAAACTGCAAATTGAATCTGAGTTGTAAAATTTGGCTTGTAAAAAGACCTTGATGTAGGTAGTAGAATTTGTTTGTTTGTTTTTCAGCATGTCAGCCCTTCTCCAAGGATCCTCTGTCATTCTAGAGATTTGAAACAGGTATGCATTATTTTAATAATAATTTTAGAAGTCTGTATCATGATGCTTAATCTTACATTTCATATTTGAGTTATTTTTTTCATTATGTTCTTTCACATTGTCCTTTAAAATGCCAAACTTAAGTACTTTAAAGTTATATTTTGTTTCTGTTTTAATAATAAATAATTTTGCAGCAGAATATAGTATCTCATAAAGTTTTTTCTCAAGGGCATCTATATAATTCTGTCTTATTGTAAAGCAGTGAATTTAGTAAGAGCATATATTTTGGATATTTTATCAGTGTGTTTTTGAGGCTCAACAAAAAACCTTCCGTGATAGCTGCTTTCAATGCAGCCAACTCTGTCTGCAACTGCTTGATGCATGGATCCAATCTGGTGATACCTATCTCTCAATTTAATGACAAAATTACCTGTTATACTGTGTAACATTATTTCTGGGTAAAAGTAAACTCAAAAACAAAGTGTTTCACCTGTTCAAGATCATTGTTTGAAGGCAAAGCCAAAAACCAATATAGTTTGGCTTTATTGCATCACAGAAAGGTGACAAAAAGAGACAGTGACTTGAATCCAGGGATGTCTTGCATTCGCCAAAAGGCATTTCTGCTTGTGCAAATTAGTCTTGCCAGGTTCTTCAATTTTTCTGACCTGCCACAGCTCCCTGTGCCCCATCACAAAGCTCCTCAGCCCTCAAATGTGTCTTTTTGAGATTTAGTATTTGTGCCTGTCATGCCACCACGTCTACCTTTGGGCTGAACTTACAGGGTATCCTTCCTGAGCATTGCTGGTGCAGGAAAATAAAATAGAATGAGCTTTTACAGAGCTCAACAACAGAACAGTTGGAACCCGGTGTCCCCTTTTTAGCTGTACTTGGGACAGATCAAAAATTCTACTTGTAGAAGGGACAGAAAAACATTGCTTGCTTCCTTTAAAAAGGTACAGTCTGGTTAACCTTAATAGCAGTTTATGTAGCTGTTGCTAAAACACTTAACTGTAGTTATGACCAATAGGAGACATTTTCACTGAAGAAAGAATAGGTGGGAGAACTATATGATCCCATAGTCCACAGCTCAACTGATCAATCATGGTTCATGAACAGGAGAGTTACATTTTAACTGTCCTGAGAACCTTACTCACTTTTTATAGTTCTCTGAAGAATGGTTTTGATATTTAAAATACTTTTGCGAATTAGCTTAGGTAAGAAATTACTTCTGTATCAATTCATTTGCCTTTTCGTTTATTTTCTGTCGTGTGGCTGTGCCTGTTTGCATCATGAATAACAAGTTTGTTTCCTGAAATATCTTTTTTTGGGGGAGGGGAAGTACAATAAAATAAATATGAACTACAGATTGAGTCTCAGTTATGCTTTCCCTTGACAAGAGAAATTGATTATTTTATTTTTTAATTTTGATTTAATTTGATAGTATAACTGGGGACTAGCTAACTGTTGCTTCAAGGCTATCCCTGATTTTGTCCTTCATTGTCTTATTATTGCTTCATAGAGTAGAAACATCCTAATACTGTTTTCTGTGGAAAACCACATCTGTATTCTATGGAAAACTACACCTAATGAATACACTCACACGACTCCAGGATATAATGAAAGAAGAGGGAAGTATCTCCTGATTTCCTCTGCTCTCCCACTCTTAAGAGAAAATGGCAATTTTGGAAATTTCGGTTCATGCTGCATCATAAAATGTTTTTTTTTTACACTTTGAATTAGATTACTATTTGAGTTAGCTGCTTGATAACTATTATCAAGCTCGCAACTCTAACTGGGTGTCCTCCTATGCTTTTATTAGTATCTGAGTACTGTCCCCCCCCCCCAAAGTTCAGTCTTTTGTGAGAGTTAAATTCTTTTGTTTAGTTTATTTTTAACCTGTTTTTCTAGCAAAAATGGCAATTAAGGCAGCTTACAGAAACAATGAGCATTGATTAAAACAGTATGACAAAACATTAAAGTACAGTAAAAACAGCAACTATGAAAAAAATTAAAAATACAAACAAACTCCAACCTAACAAATCAATTTGCAGGCTAAAGGCCTTTTTACAGTGTCTGCCCAAGTGTTCACCTCTCCTTTACTTTTTCATATTTTGTTGTGGTACAAGTAGAAATTAAAATGGATTTAATTCACAATGTTACCACCCACTGCTGTGACAATATATTTACTGTGGCAAATAAAATAAAAAAAGAAAGTAGAAGTGTAAGTATTCATCACTCTAAGTTAATTCCTGGTAGGAGGGCCAGTGTGATGTTGTGGTTAAGTGTATGGGACTAGGAATCAGGAGATCTGGGTTGTAGTCCCCACTTAGCCATAGAACTAACTGGGTGACTTTAAACCAGTCAGACTCTCAGCCCAACCTACCTCACAGGGCTGTTGTTGTGTGGATGAGAGGAGGAGGAGAATAAACAAGCCATGTTGAGTTCCTTGAAAGGAAAAATGTAGGCTTTAAATATAATAAAATAAAAATATAGAAGTACCTTTAACAACAAGTATAGCTACAGATTTTCTTGTGTAAGTCTCTGTCAGCTTCATGCATCTGGATCATGTGATGTTTGCTCGTTCTTTTGAGCAAAGCTGCTGCAATTCTGCTAGGGTGGTTGGGGCCCATTGGTGAACAGCACAGTCTTGCTACCACTTTTCAGTTGAACAGAGTTTTGGGCTTTGACTGGGCCATTCTAAGACAATCATGTTCTTATTTTTAAACATTCTCAGCATCACTTTGGCCTTGTATGTACGTCATTTGCTTACTGGAAGGGAAACCTCTTCCCCAGTACCTTGCAGACTGAAACAGGTTTTCCTCTAGAGATGCCCTGTGTTTGGCTCCATCCTTCTTGCCCTTGATCCTGACCAGCTTCCCAGTCCCTGTCAAGGAAGAGCAACCCCACAGTACGATGCTGGCACCATCATGCAGATGGTGTTCTCAGGGTAATAAGTTATCAGAGCTGAGGATTTTAATATCCTGTAGCTTATCAAACACTGTGGAGGAGACACTGTGATAGATAAAAGGATGGTGAAAGTGAGAGGTTTGGCTACCAGCCTATGTGTTTAAGTTAATTATGGGAAAAACATGTTGCCTTTGTGAAACAAAGATATTTGGCATTCAATGTAATGTATTTTTATTTCTGGGTTAGGCTTTATTTTCTGTTCTGTTTAGTTCTAAACTAAAAAGTGTTTCTGCATTTGCTGCTTTGCACACTGACTGGTGGAAAACAAGCATACACATTCAAATGCCATCTGCCCTTAACACTAATTGCTCCAGGACGAACAAAAGAAGGCTCTTGCTGTCATGCCCTGTGTGTGAGCAAACAAGAAGCATTTACCTGGTCACCTTTGAAAAATACTGATCTAAATTGGATGGTCCTTTTAAGTAATGCAGCTGGAGTCTTCTATTTTTTTATGCAAAAGTTAAGTGGATGTCTTTGTTAATGCTAATCATGTCCCCCTTCCCGCACTGTATTTAGGCAGTAGGAGATGTCAAACTGCAAGGTAGAGAATGTCAGGCAAGACAGATGGAAATGCTCAGTCCCTTAATGTTGGGGGCTTTCCATTGAGAGAGAGAGAAAAAATAGACATTCTTATTAGGTAGTATGTCTAATAGATGTTTATACATAAAGCGTAGATGAAAAAGGACACAGTGAGTCAAGATTGTACTAGAAATGTTTTTCTACAGCTGAATACTGATGTCACTTATTTGACTTAAGAAAAATCTACAAGTGGTTGTCAGAGTAAATTGTTCATTCTTCGGTTAGAAATATGACTTTATGAGAATTTATCATGCATGTTCCATCCACTTTGGCTCATCAATTCATGAACATTCTTAAAATGTAGTTTGTAGTATGCAGCAGAAGAAGGGTACTGAAAGAGAGCTACTCTGAATATATTTGTGGACTATTATTATATATCCTGTTTGCATTATCTTTTGCAACCAACATTTCTCAAACCATTTTACAAAATACAGCTTGGGTATGGTTAAACCAACTAAAACAAATTTTATTCAAACAGTACTGAAAATTTTACATTTCTGCTGTCTTCGTTGTACAGGAAATACCCTGTATCTTTGTAGGCTTTGCAGGACCAAAAAAAAAAAAAAAAGATCCTGGCTCTTGCCACACCTCATGAAAGATTCTGTTGAAGATCTTAAGATAATACTGATATTAAGAAATCGACTTGTTGCCTTTAAGGCAAGCTCATGGTGGAATTAGACTCTTCCCTATCAAATCTGTAATTGTGTACCAGGTCTGGGCAGTAGAAAGATGTTAGTTTCCAGAGAGGGCAGATGGTAGCAACTCCTCCTGGCTATTTTTTAATTATTGGCTTATGTTATTTCACAAATGTGAAAGTGTTTTATGTTAGCAGTTTCTCTTTGACATTATCCATAATGTCTTTGACACACAAGCTAAGGTTCCTGGAAGATGAACTATTGGCAAATGATGGGTTGCACCTCACAAAGAATGGAAAGCATGTGTTTTTGTGAAGAATTGGCTTTGTGTTCAATAAAATGCTTTTGCCTCAAAATCTAGCAGTTTTGCTTCATTATTCCAAACTCTGCTATTTATGAACAAAGTTTTTATTTTACAGTGCTAGGCACATGCACTTGCATGCATCTAGTGCATAATGTCTCTTCTGATTTAGACATTGTGCAATTGACTAAAATACAAAACAAGTAGTACACATACATATGTTGTAACATTTTAAGTTTGAGGGATTTTTGCAATTCATACACATAGTTGCTATAGGAATTTATTTTTATTTAATTAATTTATGTTCTCAGTTTCTGCCAAAAATGGCACTCATGGTGGCTAACGATGCTATCCAGATTGTCTGCAGAATCTTAATTAAAATATTATATAAAAAGCAATTATTCCTTTGTGAGTTGCTTTAGTACTATTAAGTGACTTGAAATTCGACACTAAATCATTAAAGCTGAACCTCAGTATTTTCTGCTATTTTTTAAACTGCAAATCTTAACTTTACTTTGTTTCTTTCCAACAGAGCATAAAGTCAAAACACCTGTAAAAGTAGAACGTCGATTTTCCGTCTTCTAGGATAATTGTTCTTAAGTTCCGCTGTAGGACAAATGTGAGAAACATAATGTGGTGAATCGCCAACACAGAAACCCTGGAATCTTTGTGCTGACTGAGGAGTTACAATGTTTCCTTTGTGAACAAAAACTATTTGGTGGTGGACAAAAATCTGAAAATGCGGCCATGGACTGGCTCCTGGCGTTGGATTATGCTCATCCTTTTTGCTTGGGGGACCTTGCTGTTTTATATAGGTGGACACTTAGTACGAGATAACGAGCATCCAGATCACTCTAGTCGTGAACTATCAAAGATACTAGCAAAGCTTGAACGGTTAAAACAGCAAAATGAAGACTTACGAAGAATGGCAGAGTCTCTCAGGTAAGCTTTTAAAGTATTTCGTAGAATCTGGAAACTCTTGGAGAGTTCATTTTTTGAGCCTACAGAGCAAAACTGAACTCATAACAAAATTGCCTTGTCCAATTATGGTCCCAGAAGTACCATAATTGGAGGTGCACATATGTGGCTTACAATCTCTCCTGGAATATAATACTATTTTTTCCTGTCATGTATTATTTCAGGGATGGAACCATAATTTCTATTAATTGCCTACCTCTTATGGCTCAGGGTGAGTACATGCACACAATAGTAAAACAGTATAAAACAACTCAATTGTGTATGTCAGCAGTTGGCTTGTTTTTATATTTGAAAGTTCATGTTGAAGACTTGGAGTTGCTGAAGATTACTGGGTTTTAAAATTTGCATTAATATCCAGCAGATATTAAAATTCAGCATATGAGACTGGACTCACTTGAGTGTTCAGTAGAGCCCTGTGTTTGGTTGTTTCCTAGCCCAAGAAGTTATAACTAGACTAATAATAGACCTGGCTGATATGATCATGCCAGTATTTTCCCATTCAATGCTAGTTGCCAGTCCATTTTCAGGCTCCATTTAAAGTGCTAGTTTTAACTTTTAAAGCCCTAGCGGTTTGGGGTAGGTTGCCTGAAGAAGCACTTCCTTCCATATTTACCTACCAGGAACTGAATGTCATTGCCCTGTTCTCCAAGTGCTCCTATGAAATGAGGAAAGGCCAGTGACTCCAAGGAAAGGAACATCTGAATGTCAGCACCCAATTTGTAGAATGCCCTCCTCATTTAAGCTCACCTGGGACCTACATTTTTTTTCAGCAACTGAAGTTTCAAGTTGCATATAAGTTGTTGGTTGTACGTGACCAGGCAACTTAGGGGCATCCCAAATCCCCAGAACCTGAAATTCAACTGACAGTGTGGTGAAAGCAAACAGCTTGTATCTTCAGAGTGCCTTGCAGAATTGTGCCCTCAGGCGTTCAGTGCTCTCCCTTTCTTGGTGTGACTACAACAGGCCCATGTCACCTGTAAAAAAGTTCTCTTGGTTAATACTTTGAGGAAGCAATAGCGATAGAAAAACAATCTTCCTTTGCTTCTTTCACTGCTGCAGAACCTATTCTCAGCTTAATTGTTACCAAATGCATAGCACCGATTTCATGCCCTGAAAATGGATTGGCCAATGATACGGGTTTTCCAAAAACTGGAAAATATTCAAATGTGCCTGATAACATTATCTGATTTAGATGTTTGACTCAATTTTACTTCCCAGCACACATTTTTCTTCAATAAGCACACAAAATCTTATATTTAATAAGCAGACCTAATAAGCAGAAATCCGTGTCAATTTCATGTGCAGTATAAATATATCAAAAGCTTTTCCCATATCTACAAAACATTTGAATTGAAATACTTGGTTAATGGAAAGTTAAATTAACCATAGTATGTAACTTAAAATGTTATATTGAAACACAAAATTTTATGTAGAAAATCTTGATTGGAATATTTGTAGAAATGTAGAGGCAGTAGCATGTACTTTATGATGTTTGCTTATAATTAACAAAAATGATTAGATCTGGAAGAACTCATTGTTTTAGGATATATGTCGGGGTGGTTGAACAGGTTCAGGAGCCGCATGTGGCTCTTTGAGTTTAGTTTGTGGCCTGTGGCTCACAGCCCGTGGGCATCCACTGACTCCTGCTTGCCACTTGCTGCCCACAGGCCCCACATGTGAGCATCCGCTAGCCACTTGCTGCCTGCAGCTACAGCTTGGGAGCATTGGCTTGCAGCTCTCAAACATCTGACATTTACCATATATGGCTCTTCTGTTGAGCAAGTCTGGCCACCCCTTATCCAGTGGTACTTTGGCTCATTTACGCCTCAGTTCACGACCAAATTGGGTCACAAACAGAAATTTCAGAAAAATTTTGACTCAGGTCGTGAGCTATGAAGTCGGTGATGATCATGATCACACCCATCTTCCCTGCACGAGCACGATTGAGGCCATCTCCCCCACCCCCGCCCTAAGCATGGCCGCAGTTGCACCTGTCTTCCCTGCACGGGTACAATCGCGGTCATGCTCGGCGGGGGGTGGGGGGAGATGGCTGCAATTGCGCCTGTGTTGCCTGCCTGAGCATGACCGCGGCCGTCTAGGGCAGTCGCGCTTGGGCAGGGAAGATGGGAGCGATCTTGGTCATGCTGCGGGATGGGGGAGATGGCAGCAATCGTGGTCACGCTCACACAGGGAAGATGGGCGTGATTGTGGATGTGCTGGGGGGAAATGACTGCGATCGTGCTCGGAGAGGGGTGAGATTGCCACGATTGTGCTGGGGCGGGGGGGGGGGGGAATGGCCATGATCTTGGTTGTTCTTTGTTATTTTGTTGTTGTTTGTCACTTTGTTTCAAATTTTTGTGCTAAAATGATTACAGAACGGAGTAACCTTATTTACATTGAACCTTATGGAGAAATTTGACTTGGGTCATGACCAATTTGGGTCGCGACCAGAGTTGTGGTACAGATTAAGTTCGTGAGCCAAGGTACCACTGTATATACCCAAAGAGAGCTGATATATCTTACGAGGAGTCCTTGCAGACAGAAGGAAAGTGGATTATGACTGTAATGCAATAATAATCAACAGTTTAATTTTCCTTTGCTGTGGTAATTGTAGCATGCCTGGAGGTTCACTTAAGTTCTGCATTGCTTATTGAGAAAAATCGGATTCAGAACAACTGGTTGAATGTTCTGTTCCGCTAAAGGATGAGCATGGGTCTTTGGGCATGGACTAGGAAACTTGGGCAAGAGGGTGCTGTTGCATTCATGACCTGCTTGTGGGATCCCATCAGCAACTGGCTGGTGACTGAATGTACAGAATGCTGGACTAGATGGACCATCAGTGCATCGCTCCTTAGGCTGTTAAGTGAAATGAACAGTAACCTTGCTTAGTTTCAGTTTTGCTTCAGTTTGTTACTGAAGAAAGTGAGCACAAAGTCTGTCAAGACCGAAGTAGAAGCCAGCTGCATTACGCACAGGTTGTCATACCTTATTTTTTGGTTCCCCATGAGCAGCTGATTGCTTGTCAATGCTTACCTTAGAAGAATAACTTATAGAAGTTTATATCTTATATGTAGTTCATCTGACATGATTGATTAAGTAGAACAGCTCAGACAGTTCTGGATAAATGCAAGCATACATAATTACATCCCTGGGCCTGGCATAATATATTGAGTCTAATGCCTTATCACAAAAAACACTGCAAATGTTGAAAGGTATGAGTGTGGATTGGCTTTCCTGAACTCAGCGCCCTCCAGATCTTTTGAATTATAGTTGCCATCATCCTATGTCATTTGGGTTGATGGGTGAAATCTAAAACTTATGGAATACAGAACATTTGGGCAGGTTTATGTGGCTATAACTACCAAACTAAATGGTTTGATAAGCTGTGGCCTGATGTGTACAGAAAGCTGAACACATATCTTTCTGGTCTGCCGCCAACCTCTAGCTTCATCACAATATACATTTAGAAACATTGCTATCTGGGAGTCACTTACGACTGCATAATACTGTGTTTGCTGTCCTGTTATTGGAAGTAGGTAGATGGTATTTTAATTAATATTGACAAAATTAATAACCTATACCGGGTTATATATTGCAGCTTCCATTACTAGTAGCTTTAGCCAGCAAAGCCAGTGGAAGGGATGTTGAGTACTGCAACATCAGGAAGGTCACAAGTTGCCAACAAGTAACTTAGTATAAGGTGCCACACATTGTTTTGTTGCAAAAGACTAATATTGCTACCCTTCTACCAACGGGAAGCTGTTTCAGGAAAGGAGCCACATACTCCCTGTGCTATACTCCTATAACAGGAGAGAGGAACCGAAACTTATTGAGTGAGCAGATGACTCCTTCCGACCAACCTTCCACAGGCACTCCTTGGGTCAGAGATGTCATGGATGTGGCTAAATTCCCTAGTATAATTTGGTTCCTAGCAAGTTTACCTTCTTCGTGGTCTCTGTGCTTACCAAGTATTTACAAGTACTCCTTGAAGTAAGGGTGGAAACCCATTTTTGGCTTGAAGGCTAGATTTGATTCAAAAAGCATTCCAAACAAGGTTTTTCTTCCATAGCAGAAGGGCAAGGGCTAGCACCAAGACCAGAAGAAGAAACTGCTAGAAAATCCCCTGTTGGTTATTTGGATCATGGGTTGAAAGTTCCTCATCTCTTCCTGTAAGGCAGCCTTGTGTACAGTCTTTTGCTGAAATCTATATATGATGTAGTTAGGGTGCATGTCACTCCTGGTCAAATTTGCAGGCTTCAGAAATCTGTGTACTAGCTGGTTCACCAATCTAAGCTGTTCCTTTCTTCAGTATGATATTGAACAGTTGGAAAATATTTTGATACTGACTGCATGGAGATAACATGCACACCATTTATCTGTATTTTTGCCATTTATGTTTCAATGGACAAAATTGTGTGGAGACATTTCTTATTTGCATGCCATGGATGGTAGCGGTATAAACAGACACTTAAGAGTGTTTAAAGTAATTTATATACATAATGTCAGGATCCTTTAGAACCAATCTGGTAACACAATATTTATCCTCATATTGTAATTTGGGGTCTGAGGCTGAGAGATAGTGGCTTGTGTGAATTCATTGCTTAGGCGCCATTTGAGTTATGGACTTTCAGCTTACATTGTTAGCTACATCTAACTTAGGTTACAATAGTTGGAAGAACCGTTTTATTATAGTTAATATTAAAGAGGAATTTTATAGTGTTTTGGACAAATTACAATATATTTGGCTCTTCTCCTTAATTAGGGAATTTTCAAGTCCGGTGAGTCATGCAAGTCCAGCTGTAAATTCTGCCCTGAGTACATGTAATGACAGCAATTCATAACTGAGGATAGAGTTTGTATCCAAAAATCTGTGGGGCAGCAGTATTTAAAATATATTCCTAACAACATCATATTTGTCCATGTGTTTAGACCATTCTTTGTGCCTTTATCAGGATTGTTGGATTCTTTGTGAAACTTCCCTTTGTTGTTGTTGCTAGCGGCGAAGTCGTGTCCGACCCATCGTGGCCCCATGGACAACATTCCTCCAGGCCTTCCTGTCCTCCACCCATCCCCTGGAGTCCACTTAAGCTCCAGCTGACATCTAGCCACCTCATTCTCTGCTGTCCCCTTCTTCTTTTGCTGTCAATTATTCCCAGCATTAAGGTCTTCTCCAGTGAGTCCTTCCTTCTCAAAACTTCCCTTTAGTCCCCCTTCCCCCCAATAAAGCACCTTTAGTCTCTCTTTATAAAGCAACTTTTATGGTGCTTTAATTAGCTAAGGTGTTCTATACTGCTTGGAATATTTTTCTTACACATTTCTGCTCTGTGAAGAATGATTTTTTCATAGAAAATTCTAACTTAACAAAGCTTGTATCATTCAGTTTTTTCCTGGAACACTCTAATATTTTGTAAATATTTAATAGAAGTTTTAGATACCAGTGAAATTTGATTTTGGTACTAGATTGGATAAATGATCCTTGATAGCTAATATGCAGTTGTATTGATAACTGATGCACAATGGTATATAATACAGCAACTTGGTTATTCTACCTGATTTGTTATTAATTTACAACATTGTATACTGTGCCATAACAGAAAGTTATCTGGGCAGCTACCTCAAAAAAGCCCTTCACTTGTCTGCCAGGATCTTCTATTCATCTGCTGTGGAAGTATCTGGCAGATTATGGGACCTGTTTAGAGAGTGCACCTCTTTCATAGGGTGTACTGTTAGGTTTCTCTGTTGCCTAATATGAAATGTGGATTTGTCTTAGAACTTGTCTTTTAGGAAAGTTTCATTATTGCTTTTCTCATTGAAAGGTTATCAAACATACTTGAATAAGCTTCAATGAATTCTAGTTCCATGGAAGACAGTTTAAAAATCACTAATATATCCTATTTGATTGTTGTTATGTAATAACGTAGTACTCTATACATGTAAGCATTTTACATTCAACATATAAATTTTATTTTTGTATTCACAATTTTTCTCTCCAAAAATTAACAATCAAATGAGAAACTTTGAATATTCATCTACATTTGTTTCTTTGCTAATCAGGTTGCAATTTTATGCCTCCATGCTGCCTGTTTCCCATTTTGGACGCATACCTTAATGTGGTGAAGTGGTTTGAGAGCGTCAAAGAAGTCAGAGGCCAGACTCTCTCACTAGATTGGTGTCCTAGCAAGGTGGAATGTTCAAACCTGAGACACCAGACTAAGATGCATTCTTCAGGAGTAATGTTCACATCAATAGTAAAGAATATCTTTAATGGTGATGGAAGCAGAGAAACTCCTGAAGGGCAGCTACTGAGCAGCATCAGTAGCTGAAGGCAGCACTTGTGACTCAAATCAGACACAAACTTTGCTTAGTGCTGTATTGAAAAAGGCAATGGTAGACTACTTCTGAATTTCTTGCCTTTAAAACCCTTTGATGAAACAATACAAAATGAATCAAGAGATAGTGCTAGAAGATGAGACTCCCAGTTCAGAAGATACTGGAGAAGAACAAAGGACAGGTATGAATAGTTCTAGTGCTAATGACAGAACTAGATCAAAGCTGAAAGGAAGTTTAGTGGCCAAAATGCACAGAAGCAAAAGGACGCTCTGATTCTGCATGGCAGATATAATTGGAATATGGAATATGAGAAGAATGTCTCAAGGCAAACTGGAAACTGTAGAACAAGAAATAGAATGCTTGGACATCATGGTACTTCATGCAAGTGGACTAAAGTGGACAGGGTTGGGGTATTTTAAGCCAGCCAAACACAAAGTGTCTTACTCTGGAAATGACACACTCAAAAGAAATGGAGGGGCTCTACTATTAAGGCAAAATGTAGCACAGATAGAAATGGGCTATAATGTAAAATCTGACAGAATTGTATCAGTCAGAATTCTTGGGAAACCTATTAACATAACTATAATTCAAGTCTATGCTCCAACAACAGATGATGAAGAGAAAGAAATCAAAAACTTGTATGCAAGCATCCAAGGGGAAATTGATAGCACACCAAACAAGACATGCTGATAATAGCTGACTGGAATGCAAAAGTAGGAAAGAAAGATGAATCCAATGTTGTGGAGATTTGGCTTGTGGTCAGAAATGGAGCAGGAGAACGACTCATGGAATTCTGTGATGCTAACAGTATGTTTATTGCAAATACATATGAGCAGATTGTAGTAGTGACCACTAATTCTTAATATAAAAAAATCAGAGTAAAGCTGAAAAAGCATAGTGCCAAATACACCATAACTAACATTCCCTAGGAAAGTAGTGTCCATATAAACAATAGATTTGCATGGCAGAACTCAGTTGACTGTGAACCAGAAGAACTCTGAACCGAAACCAATGACATTATTAGGAAAGAATGCCATATGACAATTCTTTGGTATTCTTTTAGCAAAAAGAAAGAAAAAAGTCTAGATGACTGGCAGAAGAAACATTCATAATTGTTAAAGGCAAAAGCAAAAAAATAGGATCAGAATCCTGAATGCAGTTTTTCATCAACTTTCATGTAGAGATTCCTCCCACCTAAAAAGAAGCCATTGGAATGGCCAGTAGAAAGGAACAGGAGAAAACAACAAAATAGGAAAAGAAAACAAGAGACTCTTTTGGCAAATCCATCAAATCAAAGAACAAACCAAACCTGTATTAGAAATGCTGAAAGACCAACAGGGGAAAATTCTGTCAGACTAGGATAAACTATAGGGAAGGCAGAACAATATATGGAAGAACTATACTAAAAAGAGATAAAAAGATGACAGACTGCTCCAGAGAGGAATCCTATGAGGAACAGCTTGCAATATTAAAAAGTGTTGTGAAAACTGCTTGGAAAGTACTTGGAAGAAATAAAGAACCCAGAGTAGATGGGTTATTCCAAGCTGCAGAGACTGAATTGGTTGAAATCCTATCAAGAATATGTCAACAAATATGGAAGACAAAACTGTGGCCCACAGATTGGAAACTTCTGTGTAGCAATTAAAGTGCAGCAATTAAAGAAGCATTGCATTAATGCAAGAAAAAAATGTTCATGCTGTTGCAATAAATGGTTGTTTTATTATTGTATATGCTACTGTTCCATGGTTATTTTCGTGGTATGTGATTTTATTTTGTTGTTTCATTGTAACTTACCTTGTATCCGGGATCAAGCTTTTCACAGCTTTTCTGCAGCAATCCCTAAAAAATAGCAGAGTGGTGTACTTCTAATTATTGTGTGTTCATTTTTTTTGTTTTTATGGTAGTAGTCTCCTTTTCTGTCCCAACCAACTTTGTGTAGGATTTTCGAACAGCTGGAGAGACTGCCTTGGGAAAGAGGACCCATTAATGGCAATTTCCTTCAGCACAATTTCAGCATAAATCTGGATCCAATGTGCTGTTTGAATTACACTGATGTAGTTTGCAGCACTGGTTCGTGTTTTCAGAAACCTTAATGCTGTGTATATCCCAGCCAATGAATACAAAAATCTTTTCTTTTAGCTTGACCTTAACTTGTGTCTAACTGTTCCAGCGTAGTAGAACCTTTTGCAGAGTTTCTAATTAAAAGGTGAAATTTCAAAGTTAGAAAAGGTTATTAACTTTTCTTTACCAGGAGGGTGCTTGATGAGAAGTGAGCAAGAGCATTACAAGAAGCTTTAGTTCATTTTGTAGGATATTCAGACAGTTTCTACACTCTTAGAGCTTTGCTTACCTGACCAAACAGGCAAAGTCTGTACAAGGAAGTTCCTGGCTAGTGGAAAAATTTCATCAATGTTGGTTTGCTTCATATTCATTATTTTAAAAAATCTGATATTTTTCTTATCCCATTTAAGACAATTTTTGCAGATTTTGGTAACTTCTTATTAAAAAGTCATTATGGCATAGTGATTAGAGTGTTGTATTGGGATTTGGGAGATCTGATTTCTAGACTCCGTCTGGTTTTGAAGCTTATTGGGAAAATGTGGCCTTTCTTTACAGGGCAGTAGTTAGCATACAATGGAGAGGAGGAGGACTGTGTAAGCTGCAGGATATGTTTAACATGCATACTAAACTAATGATGTACAGTGTCTTCAGGAGATGTTGACTTGGTTCTAAAAGCTGTGTTGTCACCAATGTTTTGCAAAGAAATGTGACTGTTTGCCTTTTCTTCTAGTGAAAAGTTGGAGAGTTCTACAGAGCTTCTTAAAAAATCATAGGTAATAGTTTTAGGAATAGTAGCCAGCTGGCCTGCCTGCTTTCTGTCCTGTATGTATGTGTATATTCATGATCAGGAGTGGCAACTATTTGGTATCCTGCTAGTTTCTTGTTCTTACACATCCTTATATGGAATTACACAAACAGGTTCTTGTGAATGTGTATGCACATGTGTATGATCGTGTCCCCTTGGATTTAGACCTAAATCTGTAGTTAATGCTTTCAGAGAGAAGTGTGTATGCAGGATGACAAACAACTTTAAGTACTTGACAATTGCTTGATGTTCTGACAGTGTATTACTATATTGCTACTTACAGTAATAACGTTGAGGGAATTTTAGTTGTTGTTTTCTCAAATTGTAGGGTACAGTTAGGGCAGTATCCAGTGGGGGCACTGTGCTCACACTGATTCTGTTGCACAGGTGAATCCTACTGCTTGTGCAACAGGATTTTAGTGCTTTATAAAACAAACCCTGAAATGAGCAAAAATATTAGTTTCTGGACTGGGACAAGTTGGCAGTTTGACTGACCTGCTTATTTCTGGTTCTAGTTCAAAACACTGAATACCCATTCTAAATGCTGGGACTTGGGCAGTGTTCTATACTGCCCAGAGCTATCAATAATACTATGGTATATGCAAACTCATTTGTTGTATGTTTTCACTGTTACTGTAGGATACCAGAAGGTCCTATTGATCAGGGCCCTGCTGCAGGAAGAGTACATGCTTTAGAAGAACAGCTAATAAAGGCCAAAGAACAGATGGAAAACTATAAGCAACAGACTGGAGATGGTTTGTATATGATTATTTTCTTTTGCATTAGAATAGATTCACCAGCCTGCCCCAACTGGTTTTGTCAGTTGTTTTGAACTCCAGTTCCATAAGCCATAGCTTAACATAGCCAGTGGTCAGGAATGCTGTGAACTGTATTCAAAATATCTGGAGGGTAGCAGGTTGGGAAAGACTGAGGTATGCTGTTCCACAAATGTGAGTTCTATGAAAATAAACAATGTAGATAATTTTTACTCTCCATTCCCCTCTGTTTTATTAGTGGGCTTAGGAAAAGACCATGAAATACTGCGAAGGAGGATTGAAAATGGAGCCAAGGAGCTTTGGTTTTTTCTTCAAAGTGAATTGAAAAAATTGAAAAACTTGGAAGGAAGTGAATTCCAAAGACACATTGATGAACTTCTGTCTGACTTGGGTAATCATGAAAGGTACTAATAACTATTATTGTTGAATATTTCTGTACTGAAGATTGCCATCCAGGTAAAATGGAGAATAATTGCATACTTTTATTGTTTAGATACTCCTATTTGGGTAATTAATGAAATATGTCATAGCTAATTGCATCAGCTTAAATGTAAGTGTACTCATATATGAATACAAGCTTGTCCACCTCTGTTCTGCTGCAAGCTGCCTGACATTTCTTCCTCTAGATGTTTTTTTTCCAAATGTGAATGGAGTAGCTTGCATTTAGACACCTATGTAATTGAAATCCCTAACAATTGTACGTGATGCTAGTGCATAAACATCTATTTTTTAAAAAATTAGTAGGAAATATTTTGTAGCAATACAGATTTAAAAGCTTACCAATTGGTATACAGTGAACATTAATTTTGATTGTGTTAGCCACTTAAGAGATATTTTAAATATCATAAATGGTATATAAATCAAATAAAATAGTTTAATATTTGTTATATTTAGACTTTCATTTCACCATGCCATGTACCACATTATGCTACACAGGATAGTAGCTGTGTCAGTTGTAGCAAAGGACATCAAATATGGTATCTAACAACTCATTTATTGTGGCATGGTTTTTCATGGCTAGAATGTATGTATGTATGTATGTATGTATTGTGGTCTTCAAAGATAGGCAAGCTTTTAAAGACCTGAAATACTTTTTCTCCTTGAATTAAATTCTAAGTCAAAAGATCACAACTAGCAACTCTTTTTTGGGCAAAGAAACTGCTTCATATTCCTGTTCCTGAATACCAGCAACTTTTGAATGGATCTTGGCAGTCTTCTTAAATTTTGTCATGGCTAGCAGGATACATCATGGGTAGCCAATCTGCAGCACAGATGCCACAGCCCACACTGACAGAAGGCGTATGTTAAACTCATGAGCAAGAGTAGGAGGACTAGGTTATGATAGGTTATGATTGTAAGCCATCCAGAGAACCTTCAGGTTACGGGGCAGCATAGAAGTGGAAATAAATAAATAAACGAGCTGCTACCTGCCTCTCCTGCTTTGTTGATGTTTGCTCTCCAGGTTGGTGGATGTATGGTAATATCTCATCAAGGTTCATAGAGCAACATATGGACTGCATAATATTTGATAGACTTGCACTACCTCATACTTTGGACCCTAGCACATCTTGGAAAAAGATTGGTTAATGATATGATTTGTTGTTAGTCGCGAAGTCACGTCCGACCCATCACGACCCCATAGACAACATTCCTCCAGGCTCTCCTGTCCTCCACCATCCCCCAGAGTCCACTTCAGCTCACAGCGACTCCATCTAGCCACCTCATTCTCTGCCATCCCCTTCTTCTTTTGCCGTCAGTTGTTCCCAGCATTAGGCTCTTCTCCAGTGAGTCCTTCCTTCTCATTAGGTGGCCAAAGTATTTGAGTTTCATCTTCAGTATCTGGCCTTCTAAGGGGAAGTCAGGGTTGACCTCCTCTAAGACTGACTGGTTTGATCTCCTTGCAGTCCAAGGGACTCGCAGGAGTCTCCTCCAGCACCACAATTCAAAGGCCTCAATTCTTCGACACTCAGCCTCCTTTTTCATGGCCTCTGTGCATCACACATTATGGGTGCTGTGTTTGCGCAGTGCCTGTTGCTTTCCTTATGGTCCAGCTTTCACAGCCATACATTGCAACTGGGGAAAACAGAGCCTTGACTTTACAAGCTTTTGTTGGCAGGGTGATGTCTCTGCTTTTTAGTATGTTGTCTAGATTTGCCATAGCTTTCCTCCCCAGGAGCAAGCGTCTTTTAATTTCTTGGCTGCAGTCCCCGTCTGCGGTGATCTTGGAGCCCAGGAAAATAAAATCTGTCACTACCTCCATTTCTTTCCCATCTATTTGCCAGGAAGTGAGAGGACCGGATGCCATGATCTTAATTTTCTTAATGTTGAGTTTCAAGCCAACTTTTGTGCTCTGCTTTTTCACCTGCATCAGGAGGCTCTTTAGTTCACTTTCTGCCATTAGAGTGGTATCATCTGCATATCTGAGGATGTTGATATTTCTCCCGACAATCTTAATTCCAACTTGTGATTCATCTAGCCTGGCCTTTCTCATGATGTGCTCTGCATATAAACTAAATAGGCAGGGCAACAGTATACAGCCTTTCTGAATTCCTTTCCCAATTTTGAACCAATCAGTGGTTCCATGTACAGTTCTCACTGTTGCTTCTTGACCCACATATAGGTTTCTCAAGAGACAATAAGATGGTCTGGTACTCCCATCTCTTTAAGAACTTGCCACAATTTGTTGTGATCCACACAATCAAAGGCTTTAGCATAGTCAGTGAAGCAGAAGTAGATGTTTTTCTGGAACTCCCTAGCTTTCTCCATGATCCAGCATATGTTGGCAATTTGATCTCTAGTTCCTCTCCCTCTTCGAAATCCTGCCTGTACTTCTGGTAGTTCTCGATCCACATACTGCTGGAGTCTAGCTTGTAGGATTTTGAGCATAACTTTGCTAGCATGTGAAATGAGTGCAATGGTGCAGTAGTTTGAATATTCTTTGGCATTGCCCTTCTTTGGGATGGGGATGTAAACTGACCTTTTCCAATCCTGTGGCCACTGTTGAGTTTTGCAAATTTGCTGGCGTATTGAATGTAGCACTTTTACTGCATCGTCTTTTAAGATTTTGAATAGCTCAACTGGAATACTGTCTCCTCCACTAGCTTTGTTGTTGCTAAGATTTCCTAAGGCCCATTTGACTTCACATTCCGGGATGTCTGGTTCGAGGTCAGCACCACTCCATCGTAGTTATCAGGGACTTTTAAGATCTTTCTTGTATAGTTCTTCTGTGTAATCTTGTCACCTCTTCTGCCTCTGTTAGGTCCCTGCCATTTTGGTCCTTTATCATGCCCGTCTTTGCATGAAACGTTCCCTTCATATCTCCAGTTTTCTTGAAGAGATCTCTAGTTTTCCCTGTTCTTTTGTTTCCTTCTATTTCTTTGCACTGTTCATTTAAGAAGGCATTCTTATTTTTCTAGGTATTCTCTGGAATTCTGCATTCAATTGGGTGTACCTTTCTCTTTCTCCCTTGCTTTTTGCTTCCTTTCTTTCCTCAGCTATTTGTAAAGCTTCCTCAGACAGCCATTTTGCTTACTTGCATTTCTTTTTCTTCGGGATGTTTTTAGTTGCTACCTCTTGTACAATGTTGCAAACCTCCATCCATAGTTCTTCAGGCACCCTGTCTATCAGATCTAATTCTTTAAATTTGCCTGTCACCTCTACTGTATATTCATCAGGGATATGATTTAGGTCATACCTGAGTGGTCTAGTGTTTTTCCCTACTTTCTTCAGTTTAAGCCTAAATTTTGCAACAAGAAGCTCATGATTTGAGCCACAGTCAGATCCTGGTCTAGTTTTTACTGACTGCATAGAGCTTTTCCATCTTTGGCTGCAGAGCACATAGCCTGATAATGATTTGATACACACATGAATATGATGATGGAATACAATGGAACTTATCTTCCATGTATAGAACTGTAGTGTAATGCATTGCTTTATAAATGAACTTATAGTTTTTGAATGTGACATGTTGACTGATCAAACATTTCCCTGATTTAAATTTTAGAAGAATGCAATATGCCTAGAATCATACAGTAGTAGTGTTGGAAGGGGCCATGAAGGCCATTGTGTCCAATCCCCTGCTGTTGCAGGACACCAATTTATACCATCCCTTTATGTATTGTTTAGTCATTTTTTGTCAAATAGTATCAACCTCTCAGAACAGCCTGTCTCCACAGGGAAGTGGCAGATTTCATTGTGTGTACCTTTTTGAATCTGAGACCATGTCCAAAAGACCATTTCCCCTCCTGTCCTACCCTGTATAAGGGCCAGGACGTGGGCAGTGACTGGGACACCAGAATGCCAGGACCAGGACACCTGTGCAGGCTGAGGCTTCACAACTAGTTGGGGGCCTGAGGCAAAGAGCAAGTTACCAATCCAAGGTCAAAGCCAGAGGAGACATTCAGTTGGAGCAAGGCAGGAACAAACCAGGGTCAGGCAGGAACTGACTGGAGCAGGAGCAGCTGGAGTATGGCACAGAGCTGCAGGGGCCAGAGCACAAGGAATTACCGAGACAACTTGCATTACTGTGGCAAAGAGCAGCAGTGCCAGAAAGCCGTTTATGCTGGTCTCCAGGGCTTCCAGCTGCTTTGCATAATTGCTCCTTAGCTGTTCCCTGCAAGTGTGTTCCTGGTTCTGCAGGCATTTGCAGGGATACTAAGGCCTGATCCTGACACCCCATTCTGAAGTGGCTGAAGCAGAGTTACTGGTGTTTTTGTATACATATCCTCTCTGTTGTCCTTGCTATGGCAGATGAAGAGTTTTCTATTAAACCTGGCTGATGTGTAACTATGTCTGTTGGGTTGAATTCTCTTGTTGCAACTCTGTTTTAATCTTTTAAAATACATATTTTTTATTTTTATCAAGTTTCATTTATGAATGTAAGCCACCCTGAGTGCCATTTTTCTTGGAAGAAAGATGGGACACCAATCAAATAATAAAATCATAATAGTTTGTTGGATCATGAAAGGTAACTCAATCAGAACTAGGCCTGAAGGTTGTATGTTCTATTTGAGCTACATATTCCTGGTTAATCTACATTTCCTGTTGTCCTACTAGCTTAAGCAATTATATTTTTTCCTCCTAGTATTCCTTGACAGATGGTGGTTTATAAGATATTTGTTCTGAAACAGCATGGTTATAGATTGAATAAGGATAATGATACTGCAATTGCAATTTGGAAGATAATTTCACCTATTAGATGTCTTGATCTCATGGGAAAACGCTAAGGGACTACTTTCCTGCCTGTTAGGCTTATATGTGAAATATACATGTATGGTAGATATGCTGTACGTACATGCATTTTAGCAGTTGTATATATTTTTATAGATCACATTTTAAAATCTAAGCAAAATAAAGCTGTCCATTCTGTTTTCTCTAAAATAAATTTATTTCTTCAGGGGAATGT